ATACTGGATTAACCAGGCAGAGGTTTCCCATTCTAAACCTACAATATATTTAATTTTTATTTGCACAAATTTAGTTCATGAAGGGGGTGGTAGGAGGTTTGTGGACAATAGTGCTGGGCAGGAAAATGTCCCTCTTGCTCCAATCGAGCCTGATGGAGGGGAGGGAGGAAAATGCCCTAACTGGATTTGGAATCCTGCCCTTGAGAAATTGCTGGTGAAATTGTCCATACGATTTTTCTGCCAAAGAAATGTCATTTTGTGTACTTGTAGAAGAAAATCTTTTTTCCTTGGACACAAATGGCCTTTTGATTCTATTCCACTATCCACTCTCCCAGCATCCATTCATTCAGTGCTCAGCAGAAAAAGATTTATGAACATACAGCTGTTCATTGTCTTTGGAAATTCTGATTGATCTGGTTCATTTGTAGCTAACCATCTGCGGGAAGAGTCTGTTATTAACTTAAAAGGAAAGTTTCCTTCAGGTCAGTCTTTACTCCATGTGATTTCATGAACACGGCCAGGTAGCTTTGTTCTATTCAAAAGTAGCTTGCCATAATATCTAGAACAGTGTTTCTCAACCTTGACAATTTTAAGGCATGTGGACTTCAACTCCCAGAATTCCACAGCCAGCAATGCTGGCTGTGGAATTCTGGGAGTTGAAGTCCACATGCCTTAAAATTGTCAAGGTTGAGAAACACTGCTCTAGAAGTATATCACTGGGGTTTGATTGGTTAGATGAACAATTATTTTAGCATTTAGGGGATTTCATAGTTTCAGATGTGGCTATGCTCTTCTTCTAGTAGAAAGGCACTGAAAAACTGGCTAAATTACATAAAATCTCAGGATGTATGTGAGAATACGTGTCTCATTTGAGAGTGTTCCCATCATTGCTACCCAAGCATGTGTGTAACGTATCATAACTTCCACCCCACTGAGAACTTATACAGGAATGTATTTTGGCTTGGACTCAGCCAGGTTGAATGTTACCAATGAATTCTTGATTTCAGGATTTCTCCTGATGTGAATGAAATAGAAGGAGAGAATGAAACAAGAGATCTGAATGCACAAAAGTAGTTAATTCTTATGGCATGCAGTATTAAATGAAACAGAAATGGAATGAGAGCAGAGATACAAGAAGGTGAAATAGTCAGCCTAGATGTATAATAGCCACAAAAACTAAAGGAAAAAAAATAAAATGCAAAAGGCTATTTTCCCCATTTATTTGGAGGAATGGCATTACATATTTTAATGTCAGTATGTCCCCCCAAAGATGGGTATATATTGGTCACATAGTTATCCAATTGAAAGAAATCTCAGTGTGCTATCCTTAAGCGAGGAGAAGTGCTAACTGCAAAGTTTTGTAAAGACGTTAATCTTGTCCCTAAATATTTAACATGAATTGATTGATACACAAGCCAACAAGAAATCAGAAGTCAGAACTAGTCACACACTGCTAATCTTATTCCTTATATCTTTGGATAATACTTTTTTAAAAGTAAAATTATTATTTCCTAGCCTCTTGTCCTGAGCAATTTTTGAGCAATACCCATTAGATGACTTAAAGTAATAACATCTGCTTTCTGTAATCAACAAGATTCCAAAGTTATGCCTTCAGAGCAAGCACTAAAGTGATACAGTGCTGCCTCGGTACTCGACTGCTTCAAAACTTGTTGAATATGGTTCTTGATGCATTTTGACATGAAAATGTTGTCCCGTTATTCAGCCTTTGTTTAGTACTTGATGCACTGCTATAGGAAGAGTAAGGCGCCTGTGGGAAATGGGCAGGAAGTCAGCATGCTGGGAAGGTCACTACAAAAGGAGGGGGTGGCCACAGAGGGTGGACAGGAAGTCTGCCATGCTGAAAAGGTCACTGACATAGGAAAAGAGACAGGCAGAAAGTTGCAACTTCAAACAGTTGCTAAGTGAACTGTCATAACTCAAGGAATATTTTTATTTTAGTATCCATCACACCACCCAGAACCAATTAACTCTGAATACAGAAATACCACTGTACATCATAGAATGAAAAGTATCTGTCTTTTTCTCTCAGTCCAAGAAATTGAGGTTGCAGTGACCAATGGTGAACTTAAGATGGTATCTGCATGAGACTCATGGGGCTTTGAAGACAAAGCTGTAATCACCGAATGCAAGATTCTCCCTTAATTTCTCCATTAAAATGTTATTTTAATTGAGCAATAAAAAGGTTATCATTTGATAAATGTTCAGTGCAACAGATACGAGATGCAACAGACAAAATTCCCATTTATTTTTAAATAATACAATTTGCACCATTTACCCAATAACATCACTATGGATGACATACTCTCTGATTTAATGGACTCTAGATAACTGGTCCATTAAATCAAAGCAACATTGCATTTCCTTCAGGGACCAGGTCTCACAAAAGCTCAGAGCTGGAAAACAGCAGGTTTAAATCCATTTGCTCTGCCTTAGGTAAACAAACATCTTTTCTAAAATCACATCCCATCTCAGAATGCATACCTTCATTTATATAACTAGCTTCCATGTAGTTATCTGGCAAAAACCTTGCAGGGATTTTTTTTGTCTTAGGACACAGAAAGAAGAATACTGGGGCTATATTACATTTAAAGAAATATGGCAGAAATAAGTCACTGTTAAATCAATATTTTTTTTTATCATAGCACCCTGCTGTACACAGCACCTACTCTTTACCCAGGATAAAGATAGTGCACCGATTCACATCCGTACATGAAATGAAAAACATTGTCCTCAAGAAATTTAACTATATCAAGGATGGAATTCACAGAAAACTTCAACAAATTGCCCATCATTTTTTATGATGCTGTTCCAATTCCAATCATATGAGCCTATCTATCCCCAAAGTCATAATTATTGTAAGAATAAAAAGGTCATAGAGCTGGGCCAATCTCACAATACGTAAAGACACATATGTTCCAGTGATGTATAATTAGGAGGCAATACAATATGAATTATTAAAACTCTATTTTTAAACTTAAAAGTTAGCAGGCAAATGTTTATTATAGTGGCCTTCTTCAGACTTATCAGTACAGACTAAAAGTTCACATTGATTCATTGTGGGAAATAGTCAGGTTGGATTCTACCTAATAAAGCCCTCAAAATATTCAGATTATTAGAGATGACTTTGCTGAACATTTGCACCATGTTTTGTGTCTCACTGAAGGGACTAGCACCACAGGCATCAGCTTGAGCTCCTTGAGTAACCTTGGGAAAGTAATAATATTTTTTTCATTCTTTTAAAGTTGCAGAAAAAGTTGGATATTTCTTCAAAGCCTATGAAGCCCCAGAGTTTCTCCGATTCAAATTGACAAGATTGCAGTGTTTTCTGTCGTTATGGAAGAGGTGATGAGGGTGTTCCAATGGTGGGATTCAGCCAGTTCACACCACTTCGGCAGAACCCGGTAGCTAATTTTTTGTTGCCCAGGCCCAGAATGGACTTCCGGAAGCGGTATCCACACAGAGAACCAGTTGTTCACATATTTGAATCCCACCACTGGGGTGTTCCTACGCCTATTAGGATGACATTACAAGTGGCCTTTGAATTGCCTTTAGTTGGGAAATGGCAATATTACTTATTTAAAATATCACTTGATTTCAACATTATCAAAATTCTTTAGCAATATCTAAAATCCCAAAATTACAAATGTTAATCTAGTTTGTTATTGTTTGGCTTCTTTTGTGCAGATTTTATCTCATTTGTTACAACCAGTGGTCAAAACAACAAATAAATTGATTGATTGATTACTGTCAGTATTGGAATAGGTTGTGGATGATGTCTATGTTTCTTTTGTGTGTTAAATAAGTGAAGTATAATGCTAATGTGAATATTGCTTATCTGCAAAAACTCTGGAATAAAAGGATATATTCCACATTAACAAATCAATTTGCTAGAGTCTCAAATAATATTAAGGGTATTAAGTAGAATTTTTACAATCTTAAAAAGAGATTAATTTGCTTTAATATTAATAAACTTATTAGTATTGTATTATGAAGATATGTACAGTTTCAAAATCAATGTATTTTGGAGTTATAATAAAAACAAATTGGAGTTTTATCACCATGTGAAGAATTATGGATTTATAAAGGACTGGTATGACACCAGAAAGCCAGTTTGGTGTAGTAATTAAACCATCAGATTATAAATCAGGAATTCTAGTCCTACTTTGGTTGGCACAAACCCAAAGATGACTTTTTCTCAGCCCTAAGAAGGAGGCAATGGCAAACCACTTGTAAAAAAAATATTTGTCAAGATAACTGCATGATTAAAAGGAAGGGGGGGAAGTATGATGCCAGATTGGACTTCATAGGATCACATTGCAGTAAGTTAAAGTCATTCCAGCTGCCCAAGCAGCTACCCTATATACAGTGGTGGGATTCAAATATGTGAACAACTGGTTCTCTGTGGGGAGGCCACTTCCGGAAGTCCATTCTGGGCCTGGGCAACAAAAAATTAGCTACCAGTTCTGCCGAAATGGTGTGAACTGGCTGAATCCCACCACTGCCTATATAAGACAGTAGCAATATAAGGCAGAAGATTGCTTTAGTAACAGTAAACATACAATTTCATTTTGCATGGGAGAAGGAAAGGCAAAACATTTTTATATTTTACCTAGAAAAACACATGGATAGGTAAGATAAAGTGTCTGATAATATAGGGTCAGATAATGGACCTCTGAGGTCAGATGGCCCCACATTTTCAGGACACATAGATGCCGATTTCCATATGATAAAACTAAATCCAAAGCTGAAAAGATAGAATTACGGTGGAAACATGGAATATAAAAAGCATAAATATGGGGAAGAAAAGTGAACAATGAAACAAATCAATTACACATTAACATTATAGGTACCAGCGATTCAAGTGGACTAGAACTGAGCGCCTTTATTCAGAAGATCATAATATTAGTGCTCAGGGCATAAAAAATAAAGCAGAAAGTGCATTGTTTATATGGTCACGAAACATATAGCAAAGACCGTACTTGGTTATAAGGAAGTCAATGTCCAAATAATATCAATTAGAGTTTGCAGATAATCCTTTAATATGGTGATTATCGAATTTGATGAGCTTTTGGATCAATCTCCATCAGACATTAATAAAACATGGAGGCAAGGCATGTCACTTGGGTTGGAGACTGGAATACCAAAACTGGAAGAAAATAGAGCTGAACTGCAGAGTCTGGGAAACAGAAATGAAACAGGAGAATGACAAATCAGTTTTTTTCAAATCCACTTATTCTGCAACACTAACATAGTTTTCAAACAACCAAACTGATACCTATACGTACATCTTCAGATAAGCACACAGAAATCAAATTGACTATTATTTTTCAAAGGAAGTAGAAGACCTCGCTTATATCATCAAAGGCATTGCCAGAGGCAGACTGTAGAACAGATTGTAAACTGCTTGTGTGCAAGTTCCAAGCCAACTAAAGTGGAAGAAAAAAAGCCAACCAGTTTCAATGATACGATCTTGAGCATATAGCCATAATTTTCAAGAAGAGCATCAAAGAATCCTTTGAAGTCCTGAACCTAATTGACAGAGAACAAGAGGAACTATGAAATGAAATCAAAGTTATTAAAAATGAATGTAAAAAGAGACTCAGAAACAAAAGAAAGTCAAAAGGATTTAAGAATAAAAGGGGCAAGTTGCCAAGAAAAGATTACCCAATCCCAAGACTTCCAAATTCTTTAAAAAAAACTTTTTTTTTAAATCAAGAATTTCAGGAAGGAACTTAACCAATAATGTGAGAGAGCTGCTAAAACGGACAAGAACCAATAGTATAACGTTCTACTGAAGATAGAAACAAACTGGAATAAAAATTAAAATCTTCCAAAAAGTTTCCATATGCAGAAGGTTCCACCTTTAATTGAATACCAGTTGACAGATAGTAACTGATTCCATGAAAATCAAACAAATATGGGAGAAATATTTGAAATTCTGTATAATAAAGAAGTCAACATCTAAGGCAGTTTGAAAGAAATTTCCTTATTTACAAAAACCTCTGGTACTATAAATGGAAATTAGATCGCCACTGATTATTACCAGGTTGAAATATCTGTATTATCCAATGCAAATTAAATTCCATGCATAGAAATGGAAATGCCACATGTATATTGGAAAGACTAAAGACTCTCTCCTTACTTATTCAATCCATATGCTGAATATATTTTGAGGGTGGGTGGATTGGAGGAAAATCAGCATGGTTTTAAAATTGGAGTAAGAAACATCAGTAACCCACTTTATGCTGATGACAGCACCCTGACAACTGAACATACAAATAATCTGCAAATTCTACTCATGAAAGTCAAAGATCACAGTTGAAAAAATGACATCATGGTTAAAGAAGACCAAACTAATGACAACAGGTATAGCAATCACCTTAGAATTGAAAATAAAGATATGCTTAGATTCAGCTTTTAGGATCAATTACTAACAATAAAGAAAGCACAGTAGCAGAGAGTAGCACTTGATAGGATATCGATAAAACCTTGGAAAATATATTGTGGCCTGATGATCAGAAATATTGAGGCAGTGGTTTTTCCTTTGATACTTTATGGAAGTGAAAGTTGGATTCTGAAGAAGCAGGGTAAAAAGATACTCTAGAATTTTGAGTTGGAGGAGACTTCAACCTGGATAGCCCTTGCAAACAAATGAATCATAGATGGATCCTCAGTTCTCAGTCAAAGTTCAGATTGTGTTACACATTTTGCAAAGATCTGGCTTTCTTGAGAAGTCAATAATGATCAGAAAGATGGAAGCAGGATGGATGGACTCAGCTATAGCAGTGATAAATGTACCATTGGAAGACTGGAAAGATCTGGATGGGGACAGATCATCCTGATAATGTCTACTGAAGTGGTCACTAAGAGTTGAGATTGACTTGATGGCACATAATCATGTTGTGACTGAAATTGTCAGATATCAGATATTAATATTACCAGTGGGTTTTCTTTGCCCCCCCCAAAAAAACATACTTTGTATATTCTTTCCTCTTTTTGATGCAACAAATAAAATGTGTGGAATATAGGAAAGCATCTAGTTGCTGTTTTATAAACAGCTGGAAGGCAACAACTAATTTAATTAACAATATTAAGCATGGAAAAATGGAAACAGTAGAAAAATTAGTCATGATTTGCCATCGTGGCTTCCTTTAGTTTTTCAGAAATTACATTTATAATAAACAGCTGTGGAACTGATCATTACTCCCAATGTTCAAAATTAGAAACCTTTTAGATTCTGTTTTCTTAAGACTGACAACAGAATCCAATAAGGGCTATATATCAAACAGGCACATACAGACCTTCAGTTGTGAATAAATTTCAGCTGCCTGAAAGATTGGAAGGCAAGAGAAAACCAACATAATCACTGCTCAAAACCAAAATACTACAAATCAAAAGCCACCAGTAACTTGAAGTGCCAGGAAATACCGTTGTTTAATTGAGTTTATATCTGTTCCTGTCTTGGAATGCTCAGGGCAGTTAATAAATTACTGTGAAATAAAATAACTTAATCTAAACTAAATAAACCATATATACTTCATCCCAACTTACCAAGTGCTGGGCAAATAAGCAAACAAAAAGTGTTTGATTGCATTTAAAGGACGCTTGGACCAGAGTTAGAGCAAATCACCAGGGAAGGCTATTCATTTTAATGGGAAGCACTTTTGGAAAGTCTTCCTTGTGTTGACCTTGGAAAGACTTTGAAAGACCAAAGGAAAGGAATGATTGACAGTTGCTCTCTAGCAAAGGTCTTTTCATATCACATTCGTACCTGATCCTTCCCTCTGGAGCTGTCAGGAAGATGCCTTGCATTCCAATCATGTGCTCTACTACTAGCCCAATGGCTGAACTATCATCCATCATGGTAATGCAAAGAGAAGATAAGTCAAAGGGGAAGGGCTCCTGCACTCATTGTTTCCCGGTTTGTTTGTTTTTAATAGCACAGGAAGACATTTCCATATTTAAATTCCACTGCATTCAACCAGAGCACTCCTAACCTCCAGATGGGTTAGGGTGACAAACCACACAATCCCTAATCTTACCTTTAGCAATGTACATTGCATTTTGCAGAGCTGGGAAATTCAGAACAGACTTTCATTTTTCACTTACATTCAATGACTCCATTGTATGTTTGTTTACAGCCTGAGAGTTGAATATAGCCAATACTATCACATAAACTTTCAAATGTTCTTCAAAAGGAATTGAAAGCTAGGTTAAGTGTGGTCTCTTTTATTGTCTGCATTAGTAAAGCACTACTTCTGTCTGGCAGGTGCATTTATAGATTTAAGGTGGGAGGCATCGAATTGAAGCATTCAGGCATTTACTTTTATTATGTCCCCTAGTACAGGGGGGCCTTTGAATGCCTCTGCAACCATTTTTTCTAGTTGCTAATGTAAATTACACAGAAACTATTTCCAATGGAGATTGTTCTACTTTTGTTCTCTAATAGGCAGACCCCAATGCAGCTTTCTTTAAAAAAAAGTTTTTCCCCCAGTATATACATTTTAGTTCAATGATCATACTCTGAATGCAGCTTATGGTAGAATGCCTCCCTTTCTGCATTTTTAAAAAACAGGAATTCTCTTTGATGTTAGCATCTTGTATGGTGCACATATTTTTTTACCCCTATGAAATGGGGTTAGAACAAAACAGAACAACAGGATGGTAGTGGTGGAGAGAAATAAAAAACTACATTGATTTTTTTCCTCATATCACACCCATATACACACATATGCGCACACACACACACACACACACACACACACACATGTTCTGATGGATATTGCTCTCATGTTCTGTTCCAGAAACTAGAATTTGGTAGTTTTAATATTACTGTAAGTTGAGTTTGACATTTATACCTTAACATTTAGGTATGAATGAAATACAGTACAGAGGGAAGTCAGATTGATAGATGTAATACAAGTTAGACAATTTAGCAGACTAAAATTATATGCTGCTTTGAATGTTTCATTAGCTATAACAAGATATGTAAGTAGATTTCTGCATGCTGACCTGAAAATGTACTTGGGGAAAGAAAAATATTTCAGACAGAATAAATGATCAGGGAACTAACTTGGAAGTCATTCTTCTTCTTCCATAGCTTTGGGGACAAAGGTCTGAATTGCACACGTTTTTAATGCACTTAAGTGGACTTGCCCATGCTCTTAGCCGCTTTCTCTTTCCCTTTAATTGGCTACTGGTTTCAGTCATTTCCTAAAATATTATTCGTAGAGGGTCCTTTCCATTTCAGTTGAATTCAGTTGATTCAGTTGAATTTCCATCATCTTTCTCCACTTCACCTATCCATGCTATCTTAGAAATGCAGGCAATCCTTGATGATCATTCGTTCAGTGATTGTTTGAAGTTATAACAGCACTGAAAAAAATAATTTACGATTGGTTTTCACACTTAACCACTGCAGCACCCTGTGATCACATGATCAAAATTTGGGCACTGGGCAACTGGCATGTATTTATGACACTTGCATGGTTCTGGGGTCATGTGATTGCCACCTTCAACCTTCATAACCAGCTTCTGACAAGCAAGTCAATTGGGGGAAGCCAGATTCACTTAACAACCGTGTGATTCATTTAATAACTGTGGCAAAAAAGTCATAAAACGGGGCTTACTTACTTAACAACTACCTTGCTTACCAATTTTGAGCCCAAGAAATGCTGGGCTCATTTATGGTTGTTAAGTCAAGGACTACCTGTATACGTGGATCTCAAACATAGCTTGGTTCAAGGGCTAAAACAGGAGAAAAAATATTTGAAGTCCAGACCACTATTCCGTAAGCTTAAATAACATACTGTAGTGTGATTATCCCTTGTCACACTTCCTTGTGAACTTACTGGTGAGCCGGAATTGTAGAATTGTGCTCACTGGCTATAAGCAGGGAACAATGTTTTGATAAAGATAGATTAGACTGAGACTGACACAAAGTAAACTTGTCAGCGGTGCAATTTTTCTAAGAACAATAATGTCAAACCTTATCGTGATCACTGATCAGAACAAACACAAAAAACAAAATGCGGAGAATGCGTTTTCTCGAATTGGTTTCAACACACCAGTTCCTTTGCCTACCTCCGTGCCCTGAATAACTGCTTCAGAGTTCCCCTGTGTTAAACCTTCCATTCAGCTGCTTTATGAGGCTATACTTCTAAATCCCACATCCACAGAAAGTCACTTCAGACTTTTATATTTACAAAGGGAGACGTTCTGGTTGAATCAACTGTTCTTTGTAGTAGTATATCTTCACATGTGAGGGCAGGACACAGTCAGAATATTCACGCCTTCATGTGGCCCTTAGATGAAACTTCTCAGAGTCCCTCCAAAACTAAACTGTAACTTTTAACACAGAAGAACTAGGGCAGTGGTTCTCAACCTTTTTAATGCCGTGACTCCCAACCAGTTGTAAGTCGAGGACTACTCAACCAGTCATAAATCGAGGACTACTCAACTGGTGCAGTACCATTTGCAGAATGGGACTTTTGGCAGGCTCAGCAGGGCAGAGACAGCCTGGACAATTCCTATTGGCTTTTGAAAGCCAATAGAATTAGACTCTATTCAAGAGAATCTATTCTATTGGCTTTCAAAAGCCAATAGAATAAAAGGGAGTAGCACAGCTAAGGAAAAGGGGAAAAATATGGCGGACTGTGTTGTTTGGCGACCCCCGTGAAATGGTCGTTCGACCCCATATGGGGTCCTGACCCACAGGTTGAGAACCACTGAACTAGGGGGTTATTAAATAAAATAGGTATCCTGTAATTGACCTGCACCCTTCAATTAACACCTGGAAATGTTAAATAGGAAGAGCTACTGTACCTTACCTAAGTCTCACCTGGAAGTGAGACTTAGGTAAGGTACAGTAGTTCTTCCTATTTAGTCTTGCAAATTTTGCTATAACAGCAATCAGATAATTATTTCCCAGACACTTCATCCTCATTAAGATCTTACCTTCTTTTTCTAATGCCTAAACTAAGCAATTCTGGGAATGGAGGGGGAAAGAAAGATTGTGGGGCTATTAAACTTGTCACCTATTTGGGAATCAAATTCCAAAGATCATTCTGATCTCTCAGGTTCACTGAGGGACTTCCTGGTGCAGTAAGTAATTACTGGGGACAATTTAAATAAACACGATCCTGTTTGGTTTGGTCCTGGCACCTCTTTTAATCTCCTTCTCCAGTACCCATTCCGCAAATTCTAAATTAGCCAGTAAAACAAGAATTTCAGAAAAAAACTGGAAATTCACAGTATGAATTACATTTAGTTAGTTTAATTATTACATTTAAATGCAGTTTTAATTGCATTTAGATTCTGGTTTGGCCCTACCTACTTTTTAGGATGAGAACCTTGGCATGCTACACAAATCCTATCCAGCCCAAAAGTTGTATATCCCTAATCAAGGACCACCATAATGAAAAGTTTGTAGGCATTAATTTTTAGTAAGACTGTGAGTCTGAAATTTTGTTTGTTTATTTATAGTACTTTTATGGCTGTCTATCTCAAAAGATAACTCTAAGTGGCTCTTTGTCTATGCATTATTGCCGTACATTTTTTAAAAAAACTTGCTTTATCCATGCTCAGGATTTTTGTCTGAGTTCTCATGTCACTAACAGAGCATTTGAACTCCCTGTTTTCTATTAAGCTATAATGTCCTTCCAAGCATTGAGAAAGATATGTCCTCCAGAAGCTCTTTCAAAAAGTTCCCAAGATTATCTCCACACATATGAGCATGCAAATTGCTGCACTGATGTTGTTACCCAGTTTGGTAGTGAAATGTCTACAAGAAAACAATCAAGCTCAGAGAGGACCAGGGATCCCATACAACTGCTTCAATTTGCCAGGAATCCCAACAGAAGTGCTTGTGATTGCATGTGCACATTTCAACAACTAGGAAAACTTCTCAAAACTACCATGTCAAATCTTCCAGATTATATGTTCATTATCTTCCACATTATATGATTATTTTAATTTGACGACTGCACTAGGAATTAACTTCAATAGTCTCTTGGCCACAGCAGCCTCAGCAGGCTGGGAGACAATTTGCTTACCCAATGTGATTGAATTTGATTATTTTGTGAAACTCTAAGGGTTTTCACTGCTCTTTTTGTCAGCAACAATTTAGCTATACACTCTTAATTAAAATTATAGTACTAGCCACAATTTTCATGATCAGTCCTCTGTTTCTTTCATTGGCATGGGAAAACTGGATTTATATCCCATTTTGGCCTTCTTTAAAGGTACAGAAGCCCTATGAAACAAGCCTAATGATTTTTAACATAACTTGGGAAATGGTTCTATGTCCATATGGATGCTAACATTGGATATTCTTGCTTTGACAAAATATGCAGAACTGTCTGGTGTTTTTAGAGTTAACTTAGATGATGCTTGGAGGAGGAGTAAGAATGTGTGT